ATGACCCGAGAGTGCCCATCTCCGGCCCCGGGGCCTGGGGCTCCGCTGAGTGGATCGGTGCTGGCAGAGACGGCAGTAGTATTTGCAGTGGTGCTGAGCATCCACGCAGCCGTATGGGACCGATACTCGTGGTGCTCCGTGGCCCTCGCAGTGCAGGTCTTCTACGTCCAATACAAGTGGGACCGGCTGCTACAGCAGGGGAGCGCCGTCTTTCAGTTCCGAATGTCCGCAAACAGTGGCCTACTGCCCGCCTCCATGGTCATGCCTTTGTTTGGACTAGTCATGAAAGAGCGGTGCCAGGCTGCGGGGAACCCGTTCTTCGAGCGTTTTGGCATTGTGGTCGCAGCCACTGGCATGGCAGTGGCCCTCTTCTCATCAGTGTTGGCGCTGGGCATCACTCGCCCGGTGCCCACCAACACTTGTGTCATCTTGGGCTTGGCTGGAGGTGTTATCATTTATATCATGAAGCACTCGCTGAGTGTGGGGGAGGTGATCGAAGTCCTGGAAGTCCTGCTGATCTTCGTTTATCTCAACATGATCCTGCTGTACCTGCTGCCCCGCTGCTTCACCCCTGGCGAAGCGCTGCTGGTATTGGGTGGCATTAGCTTTGTCCTCAACCAGCTCATCAAGCGCTCTCTGACACTGGTGGAAAGCCAGGGGGATCCAATGGACTTCTTCCTGCTGGTGGTGGTGGTAGGGATGGTACTCATGGGCATCTTCTTCAGCACTCTCTTTGTTTTCATGGACTCAGGCACCTGGGCCTCCTCTATCTTCTTCCACCTCATGACCTGTGTGCTGGGCCTTGGTGTGGTCCTACCCTGGCTTCACCGGCTCATCCGCAGGAACCCCCTGCTCTGGCTTCTTCAGTTCCTCTTCCAGACAGATACCCGGATCTACCTCCTAGCCTATTGGTCTCTGCTGGCCACCTTGGCCTGCCTGGTAGTGCTATATCAGAATGCCAAGCGGTCATCGTCTGAGTCCAAGAAGCACCAGGCCCCCACCATTGCCCGAAAGTATTTCCACCTCATTGTGGTAGCCACCTACATCCCAGGTATCATCTTTGACCGGCCACTGCTCTATGTAGCCGCCACTGTATGTCTGGCAGTCTTTATCTTCCTCGAGTATGTCCGCTACTTCCGCATCAAGCCCCTGGGTCACACTCTGCGGAGCCTCCTGTCCCTTTTTCTGGATGAACGAGACAATGGACCACTCATTCTGACACACATCTACCTGCTCCTGGGCATGTCTCTTCCCATCTGGCTGATCCCCAGACCCTGCACACAGAAGGGTAGCCTGGGGGGAGCCAGAGCCCTCGTCCCCTATGCCGGTGTCCTGGCTGTGGGTGTGGGTGATACTGTGGCCTCCATCTTCGGTGGCACCATGGGGGAGATCCGCTGGCCTGGAACCAAAAAGACTTTTGAGGGGACAATGACATCTATATTTGCGCAGATCATTTCTGTAGCTCTGATCTTAATCTTTGACAGTGGAGTGGACCTTAACTACAGTTACGCTTGGATTTTGGGATCCATCAGCACTGTGTCCCTCCTGGAAGCATACACCACACAGATAGACAATCTTCTTCTGCCTCTCTACCTCCTGATATTGCTGATGGCCTAGCTGTTACAGTGCAGCAGCAGTGACAGAGGAAACAGACATGGGGCGGGCAAACAGTCCCCACAGCAGACAGCTACTTGGGAATGAAGAGCCAAGTTGTGAAAAGCAGATTTGATTTTTCAGTTGATTTCAGATTTAAAATAAAAAAGCAGAGCTTTCCTGGTTCTAGTTTTGCTGATTTTTATTTTATTTTTTATTTTTTTGAGATGGAGTTTTGCTTTTGTTGCCCAGGCTGGAGTGCAATGGCACGATCTCAGCTCACCGCAATCTCTGCCTCCCAGGTGCAAGCAATTCTCCTGCCTCAGCCCCCTGAGTAGCTGGGATTACAGGCATGTGCCACCACCCCCAGCTAATTTTGTATTTTTAGTGGAGATGGGGTTTCTCCATATTGGTCAGGCTGGTCTCCAACTCCCGACCTCAGGTGATCTGCCCACCTCAGCCTCCCAAAGTGCTGGGATTATAGGCATGAGCCACCACGCCCGGCTTTGCTGATATTTAAAAAGAAAAGAGTCTTAAGGGATAGTCCAGCAACTCAGCTGAGCACACCTGAGTGTGCTATAGAGCTCCCCTCTTTCACCCTGCAGCCTCAGAGGACGCTGGAGGTTGTAAAGTGTGATGGTTAACTTTAATCTCTGGTTCAAACTAATCTGGTCAGAATCCTTGGCCGCACAGCTTCTTATTAACTGTGTGACCTTGGGTGAGTCACTTAACAAGTCAACCTCAATTCTCTTGCAGATGGAAGTAATGACATCCTGCACCTCTCAGGGTGTTGTGAGGGTCCAGCTTAGAGCCCACCCACGATGAGCAATCAGTAAGGGAAAGTGTCATTTTTACCAAAGACCAGTCTTAGCGAAAAGCAGGGCAAACCATGGATTTATATTTGGCAACCAGAGTGACCTTTGCTTTCCAGTCTTCACTTGGAGGAGAACCCCCTGAGGGAAAGAGCAGAGGGATAGGAACTACTGGGGGTGGGGGGAGGATCAGATCCTGCTTGAGCTGGATCTTGTTTAGGCAACCCCACCCTGCCTCCGGTGTCCCCACTGGGAGGTGCCTGTAGAGAAGGATGGGCTGAGCAGCACCAGGAACTTGTCAAGGGATTCTTCGTAAGACCCTTCCACATTCTAGTCCTTCCCAAGGTAGGTAAGATCCACAGGGGCTGGAAGAGTTTCCTAAGAGGTAAAATGGCTCTCTGGGAGGACAGGCTCTGGGACTGCCTCATTCCCTACCCCATCCCCCAAGGCTAGCACAGGGGGCTGACAAGAAGCAGGAAGTCAGCGGATTTGGGAGTCCATCTTGCACTGTGTCCCTCCCAGAAGTGTACACTACACAGATAGTGAACGGATAAAACGTTTTGCATCACTAGGAAGATAGCACAGCAAGATTCCTGAGGCTGGACGAGGCTCTCCCTTTCTCCCCAAGCTTAGGAGGACATCAGAGGAGGTGAGAATTTTAGTCCACCAGGGCCAGAAGCAGAGCTCCGCTGAAGCTTCTGCTTGAGAATCGCTGCCAAGTCCTTTCCCTTAGAGGAGAGTATTGAAACATTCCTCTGGGACTCAATGGAGGCACCTCCCTTTTCCCGGGCTCCCTCCTACGGCTTACAAAACAAGGCAGCAAAATGTTGGTGAAAGAGCACCAGCTTTGCTCCACGGACTTCCAGGGTGGCCTTAGGAAACAGCTCTATTCTCTGGGCCTTGGTTTGTCCATGTATGTAGTTGGGGATAGGGTACATCAGGGTCACAAACTCAAATGACTGCCAAGACCAGTCAGGTAATGCAGTGAGTGAGAACAGGGGACCACACTGAGCCTCTAAGGCAGCTCTAGCCGGTAGCCACCATGCTAGAGTGTAGGCCCTGTGTTGTCCATTGTATGCTCATTCAGGGAAGCTTAGTAATCTGGATAGTTATGTGGAATCTTAAGATTTTTCTTAAATGCTGAGGCCTAGACAAAATGCATCTGTGGGCTGGAATCGGCCTGTGGTCCCCAGTTTGCAGCCTCTGGGCCAAACCTCAGCGAAGCAGGTTTTAGATTTGGTAGTTGTTCAGAAGGTCTGAGTGCCTCAAGCATGCCCAAACAGGACGGGCCCCTGGAAGCCCTAGTCTGGCCCTCTTACTGGACACAGGAGGAAACAGGCCCAGAGAAAGGAAAGGCCCTGGTCTGAGACCAGAGAGCAAGTTGCTCACAGAGCCAGGACCAGAACCTGGAACTCTAGATTCCTAGCTCTGGGCATCTCTGCTCCCCAAGAAGAGAAGACAAGGCAGTGTCAAGGTTAGGAGCACAGGCTCTGCATGAGGCCGACCCTGCTGAATAACCAAGCAGCTGTGTGATTTGGGCAGGTCATTTACCTGCTCCTTGAGTCAGCATCTTCTGTAAATACAGATGATAACAGCACTTACCTCTCCAAGTGAGGATTCTGTGAGGTAAAGCCTGCGAAGAGCTCAGCACAGAGCAGGGCACATAGTGAATGCCCAGTTACTTATTAAAATCATGCAGCCAGACGTGTTGGCTCACGCCTGTCATCCCAGCACTTTGGGAGGCCGAGGTGGGCAGATCACTTGAAGTCAGGAGTTTGAGACCAGCCTGGCCAACACAGTGAAACCGCATCTCTACTAAAAATACAAAAATTAGGCAGGAGTGGTGGCACACACCTGTAATCCCAGCTACTCAGGAGGCTGAGGCAGGAGAATCACTTGAACCTGGAGGCAGAGGTTGCAGTGAGCCAAGATCACACCACTGTACTCCAGCCTGGGCAACAGAGAAAGACTCTGTCTTGGAAAAAAAAAAAAAAACATCAAAAATAAATAAATAAGGCCGGGCGCGGTGGCTCAAGCCTGTAATCCCAGCACTGTGGGAGGCCGAGGCGGGTGGATCACGAGGTCAAGAGATCGAGACCATCCTGGTCAACATGGTGAAACCCCGTCTCTACTAAAAATACAAAAAATTAGCTGGGCATGGTGGTGCGTGCCTGTAATCCCAGCTACTCAGGAGGCTGAGGCAGGAGAATTGCCTGAACCCAGGAGGCGAGGTTGCGGTGAGCCGAGATCGCGCCATTGCACTCCAGCCTGGGTAACAAGAGCGAAACTCCGTCTCAAAAAAAAAATAATAATAAATAAATAAATAAATAAATAGGCTGGCCGTGGTGGCTCATGCCTGTAATCCAAGCACTTTGGAGGACAAGGCGGGCAGATCACCTGAGGTCGGGAGTTCAAGACCAGCCTGACCAACATGGTGAAACCCTGTCTTTTTTTTAAAAAATAAATAAATAAAATCGTGCAAGCCACACCAAGCAGGGCTGGGATGGCTGAGATGCATTTTAGCACCTTGTCTGAAAGGCAGTTTTCTTGTCTGGAAAGCAATGCTGCTTGGGAAAGAAGGCTCAGTCAGGAAGCTGCATTCTGAAGTCATTTTTATTCAATATCTAACACCATAATAACCAGAGTTCCATCTGAGAGGAGAGGAGAGTGAGAAGGGGCCAGCACTCCTTGGTGGCTGAGAGGCCTCCTCAAGGCTGTGTTGGGGCAGTAGGGAGGCAGACAGGTGAAAATATTGGGGAAGCCCTGACCCCGCCCAGGCTGCTGCCCACAGGGCAAGAAGAAAGCCCCGAGACCTCCCTGTTACAACCAGGAGGCCGAGCAAGGCGCTGGTGTTTGCAGCCCACAGCTTCACCGAGAGGGTCCAGGGCTCCTACCCTGTGAGAACCTTTAGGTGTACAGCGGGGGAAAGGGCAGTTCAGCTGTTGGCTGGAGCCTGCAGAGGACAGAGGAGATAACCTTGAGGTGCAGGGTCACTGCTCCTAGCCTCCAGGGGACTGTTGGGTGCACACACCCACCCTGTCACCTACCAGTTCTCCGGGCTCCAGGTGGTGCCAGATGCCTCCATGAGGTGGAAAGTGTAGACCTGGCGTGAGCGGTCGGAGAGGTTCTGCTTGCTCTTGTGCACCACTTCTCCGTGGATGAGGACCAGGGCCCCTGGCAGAGACGCAAGCAGGTCAGGAACCCACCAGCCCCACATCCCCTCCCCAGGGCAGGAAGGGACATGGGGCCTCCTCCCTCCAGCGGTTTTGTGGCCCCCATCCATCCTCATTCCCCTCCCTGAAAGTTCAGGCACCTGCAGCCTGCCACAGGGTCAGAAGCTAAGCTGTTGAGATGTGAGTTCACCTGGGATCAAGTCCTCTCTGCTGTGGCCTGTGGCCTTGGCAAGCCTTGGGAAGGGCCTCCCCTCCCGAGGTGTCTGCAAGAGCAGGCAGAAGCCGTCTGTACTGTGCCAGTCCACTGGGACCTCTCCAGTGATGCTGAGTTCAACACTGGTTTTCCCTTCTCATAAGGAAAAGGGCCCATGCAATAGCCAACATTTGTTGAGCAGTTGCTGTGCACTAGGTGGACCCTATGTCAACATATTTATCATCTCACTGACTTCCCACTTTACCTTTGGGGAAATTAAGGCTCAGGGAGGCAGTCATTTGCCCAGAGAAATAGCCCATAAGTAGCAGAGTGTGGATTCTAATGTAATCTGGGTCAACTTGCAGGGAACCCAGCTGCTTCCTGACTTCCCAGTGCCCATCCAGCCCCTCCTTCTCTTTCTGTGACTTCACTGCCCTCAGATGACCCCGAGGGCAATCTCTTGGACGCTGCATAGTCGAGCAAGCATAGACCGACAGACACAGCCCCCTGCCTCTCTGCCCTCTGCATCTGCCTACCTCTCCGTACTGGGGTGGGCACAAAGAGGCTGTTATCCCAGGCTGGCTCTGACCCGAGGAAGCTGGTACCAGGCGCTGAACCAGCAGGGGCCCGGACCATCCTTCTTGACACGCCACCTACAGGACAAGATGGAGAGCTTTAAACTCCTCATTTCTCAGGGTCCCTCTCCCTACGGGATGGGGAGTACAAGTGGGCAGAAGAGACAGGGTTCCTTACTGGTGTGGGAGCCAGGGATGAACCAGAGACAGCCGTTCTCCAGCGTGGCATCCTCCAACGCGATCCACATGCCCAGCACCCGGCCTAGGGGCTCCGTGTACAGGAAAGAGGCATCCTGATGAGGGAAGACTACAGCAGGCCCACTGGGGTTAAGGAGCCCAGGTCCCACCTCACCTTGGCCTCATTACCCATTCCTCAGTCCTCTGGGTACCCTCCAGAACCAGCTTTCCCATGATCAGTCAGAATCTCATCACTTCCTGGCCCAGGACTCTAATGCAAGCAATTTCACCTCTCAAAGCTTCAATTTCCAAAATTGTAAAGTGGCTCCAACAACGATCTACCTCACAGGGTGCTGGAGGATTCGATGAGATGATGTATGAAAAGTGCTCAGACAGAGGCCAACAATGTAATTACTTGCTATAAACTAGGGCTTCTGTTTAATTCCAGTAAGATAACTCAAGCCACCATTCTTAGCCAGGGACAAGCGGCCCCCAGCCACCAGATGGCTCACCCAGGGGCATAAGGTTGGGAAGTTGGGGCTGGGTGCAGTGGCTCACGCCTATAATCTCAGCACTTTGGGAGGCCAAGGCAGGTGGATCACCTAAGGTCAGGAGTTTAAGACCAGCCTGTCCAACATGGTAAAATCCCGTCTCTACTAAACATGCAAAAATTAGCCAGTGATGGTGGCATGCACCTATAGTCCCAGCTACTCGGGAGGCTGAGACAGGAGAATCGCTTGAACCCGGGAGGCAGAAGTTGCAGTAAGCTGAGATTGTGCCACTACACTCCAACCTGGGTGACAGAGCGAGACTCCCTCTCAAAAAAAAAAAAAGATTGGGAAGTTTGGGTGTGAAGCGGGGTGATGCTATGACCAGACATCCACATTTTTATTTTATTTATTTATTTTATTATTACTATTTTCTGAGACAGAGTCTGGCTCTGTCAACTAGGCTGGAGTGCAGTAGCACGATCTCGGCTCACTGCAACCTCCACTTCCCAAGTTCAAGCAATTCTCCTGCCTCAGCCTCCCAAGTAGCTGGGATTACAGGCATCTGCCATTGTGCCCAGCTAATTTTCATATTTTTAGCAGAGACGGGGTTTCACCACATTGGTCAGGCTGGTCTTGAACTCCTGACCTCAAGTGATCCACTTGCCTCTGCCTCCCAAAGTGCTGGGATTATAGGCATGAGCCACCGTGCCTGGCCAACATCCACATTTTTAAAAATCTCCCCCACACAATGCTGGAGCACAGGTAGGATGGAGAACCGCCGAACAAAGGAACGTGGTCCTCGGCAACAGAATAAACAGGCTGCTGCTGTCTCACCTCCTTCCTTCCCAGGAGTGGAGGAAGGAACTGGGGGCTGGATTCAGGCAGAGAAGGCTAAGGGTGGGGATGGTTATCCCTTTGGGGAACTGCCCTCAGGCTGATGGTGGAAGGAGGGGGTGGTCACAAAGAGGACTACTTGGGCTCATGCAAGGAAGGAAAGGGCTTCCTCAGAGGGGATGAGCTCCCTGGCACCAGAGGTATTTGAGTAGAAGTAGATAATCACCTACCAGGAAGGCTGTAAAGGGTGACTGCATGAGGTAGGGTGTGGAACTAGATCAGCAATTTCCATGCTGAAGTAGTCCTCCAGGGAACTTGTTAGAAATACAAATTCCTAACTTTGCACGGTGGCAGTATCGTAGCCAATGAGGTTTATCCGAGGCGCAGTTATTGCCAATTGAAAACTTTTTCCAATACCCCACCTTGACAACTTGAAATATAGTCAGTGTTGGCAGTTTTTGGCAGTCTCTACTCGGACCGCAATCCCGAGCAAAATAAAACAACCACCGGAAAAAAAAAAAAAAAAAAAAAAAAAAAATTTACTTCCTGTCCAAAAAAAATAAAGAAATACAAATATTTCAAGGCCAGGCACGGTGGCTCACGCCTATAATCCTAGCACTTTGCGGGGTGAGGTGGGTGGGTCACAAAATCAGAAGTCCAAGACCATGGCCAGGCGTGGTGACTCACGCTAGTAATCCCAGCATTTTGGGAGGCTGAGACGGGCAGATCACGAGGTCAGGAGTTCGAAACCAGTCTGACCAACATGGTGAAACCCTGTCTCTACTAAAAATACAAAAATTAGTCAGACGTGGTTACGTGTGCCTGCAATCCCAGCTACTCAGGAGACTGAGGCAGGAGAATCGCTTGAACCTGGGAGGTAGAGATTATGGTGAGCTGAGTTTGCACCACTACACTGCAGCCTGAGCAACAGAGCAAGACTCTGTCTCAAAAAAAAAAAAAAAAATTAGCCAGGTGTGGTGGCATGTATCTGTAGAGTCAGCTACTGGGGATGGGGGCGCTGAGGCAAAAGAATCACTTGAACCCGAGAGACAGAGGTTACAGTGAGCCAAGATCATGCCACTGCACTCCAGCCTGGGCGACAGAGTTGAGAATATGTCTCAAAAAAAAGAAGTTCAAGACCAGCCTGACCAAGATGGTGAAACCCCATTTCTACTAAAAATACAAAATCAGGCTGGGTGCGGTGGATCACACCTGTAATCCCAACACTGAGATGCTGAGGCGGGGGGATCACGAGGTAAGGAGATAGAGACCATCTTGGCTAAAATGGTGAAACCCTGTCACTACTACTAAAATATAAAAAATTAGCCAGGCGTGGTGGTGGGCGCCTGTAATCCCAGCTACTTGGGAGGCTGAGGCAGGGGAATCACTTGAACCCGGAAGGCAGGGTTGGAGTGAACTGAAGAAAAAAAAAAAAAGCCTGGGTGCGGTGGCTCACACCTGTAATCCCAGCACTTTGGGAGACTGAGGCAGGTAGATTACAAGGTCAGGTGATTGAGACCATCCTGATCAACATGGTGAAACCCTGTCTTTACTAAAATACCAAAATTAGCCAGGCCTGGTGGCACATGCCTATAGTCCCAGCTACTCAAGAGGCTCAGGCAGAAGAATTGCTTGAACCTGGGAGGTGGAGGTTGGAGTGAGCTGAGATTGCGCCATTGCACTCCAGCCTGGCGACAGAGTGAGACTCCGTTTCACAAAAAAAAAAAAAAAAAAGGGAAGAAGAAATACAGATTCTGGGGCTGGGCCCAGTGGTGGCTCATGCCTGTAATCCCAGCACTTTGGGAGGCCGAGGTGGGTGGATCACCTGAGGTCAGGAGTTTGAGACCAGCCTGGCCCACATGAAGAACACCTGTCTTTACTAAAAATACAAAAAATTGGGCCGGGCGCGGTGGCTCAAGCCTGTAATCCCAGCACTTTGGGAGGCCAAGGCGGGTGGATCACGAGGTCAAGAGATCGAGGCCATCCTGGTCAACACGGTGAAACCCCGTCTCTACTAAAACTACAAAAAAAAAATTAGCTGGGCATGGTGGCACGTGCCTGTAATCCCAGCTACTCAGGAGGCTGAGGCAGGAGAATTGCTTGAACCCAGGAGGCGGAGGTTGCGGTGAGCCGAGATCGCGCCATTGCACTCCAGCCTGGGTAACAAGAGCGAAACTCCGTCTCAAAAAAAATAAAATAAATAAATAAATAAATAAATAAATAAAAATACAAAAAATTAGCTGGGCGTGGTTGTGGGCACCTGTAATCCCAGCTATTGGGGAGTCTGATACAGGAGAATCACTTGAACCCGGGAAACAGGTTTCAGTGAGCCCAGATTCTGCCACTGCACTCCAGCCTAGGCAACAGAGAGAGACTCCATTTCAAAAAAAAAAAAAGATTCCCAGGCCCATGCAGCCCTACAGGCTCAAGATTTCAGTGACTAGGGCCTAGGAATCTGCTTCTTTTGTTTTGGTTTGGTGTTTGTTTGTTCTTGAGACAGAGTCTCATTCTGTCACTCAGGCTGGAGTGCAGTGGCATGATCTTGGCTCACTGCAACCTCCACTTCCTGGGTTAAAGCAATTCTCGTCCCTCCACCTCCAGAGTAGCTGGGACTGCAGGTAGAAGCCACCATCCCCAGCTGATTTTTGTATTTTTAGTAGAGATGGGGTTTCACCATGGTTGCCAGGCTGGTCTTGAACTCCTGACCTCAGATGATGCTTCTGCTTCGGCCTCCCATAGTGCTGGGATTACAGGCATGAGCCACCACACCTGGCCTAGGAAATCTGTATTTTTAACCGGCTAGGTGTTGCTATCAAGTTCAGGACCCACTATGCCTAGAGCGCAAGGTTTCTCTGCCAAGTCACTATCAGAGGAAGGAATGGAAAGCGGCTCTTCCTCTCTGGCCCAGGCTCCTACAGCAGCAAGCGGTTTCCCTCCTTCTAAAGATCTGACAGCCACTGTTGGCTTAGATGTCCCACCCACAGCCTTTTCAGGGGCCCACAGCTCTCAGCTCACCTTTACCGCCAATGTGAGGTTGCTGCAAGAGACAGAAAAAGCCTAGTGAGGACAGAGGGTGGAGAGGAGCAGGGATTGCTCCATTTCACCATGCTGGGCAGGCTGGTTTCGAACTCCCGACCTCAGGTGATCCACCCTCCTTGGCCTCCCAAAGTTCTGAGATTTTTCTGCCAGGATTTCACGTCCACACCCAGCTGCTGGGCACCTATTGTGTGCCAGGCCCAGGAGGGATGCAAAGAGAAACCCTCTCCCCGCCCAAGAAGGAGTTCCTAGCATCTGCAAGCACGCACATGCTTAACAAGGAGAAGCTAGGAACAGGCCAGCAGTTGAGCCTTCCAGCCCTAGAGTCAGACAGGCCCCCCTTTTCTCAGGGGTTCTTGAAGGCTTCTTAGATGAAGTGGCACTAAGCGGGGTCTTGAAAGTGGGGAGCACAGCATTTCAATTGGCAAAGAAGGGAGGAGGGAGGCCTGGGGATGACCCTCTCTCCTATCACTAAATTTTAACTGAGCATCAACGAAATGCCAGGTGCTGTAGCCAGAGGAGACTGATTTTCCACATTCTCCCACCAACATAATTCCAGCAACTTTTGGCCCATGGTGAGGAAGGGCTTGGGATGAGCTGTCTGTCCATTGTACAGATGGTAAACTGAGGCCTGGAGAGGACGTGGAGCTCACCTTAAAGATGTACATGCTCTGCACCACCACAGGCATCTGGAGGCCCAGACTTCTGGCCAAGGCCTGGAGGGGGGCATAGGTCATGCTGCCAGCCTACCACACACATGGCCCACCCTCCTGGCCCTCACCCCCACCTCTGCTCACCTGCACCTTGGGAGAGTGTGTGATGCTCCTGAAGACGGGGTCGTGGGCGTGCAGAGCTGCAGGAGGGGAAGAGGCTGACGGCCTGTCTCAGACCCACGTGGCCCTCCACAGCCAGCTCTGGGCACCCACACTCAGGCTCACTTGGACATTGTCACCTGTTTTGTACGTATTAACCCTTCTGCTTGTTTATAACCGAGTAATGGGCCCCACAGGAGCCCTCCCCCGCCCCAGGCCCTATGCCATCCATGCCCTTGTTCTTGACCTTCTGGGCATCTGGGAAGCTCAGTCCAGCCCCGACTCCCCACCCCTCACAGATGACTAAGGGCTCCAAGGGGCCAATCACACGGTAGCAATCTCAGTACCACCACTTGCTCTGTGTGACTTCGAGTAACCATGTCTCTCCCGTAAGCCTGTTTCCTCTTCTGTCGAATAAGGATTAGAGGAACCCGGGAGGCAGGGCTGCTGTGGGACTTGATGGGCTAATGAATGTGCAGTGACAGCCCAGAGCCTGGCATGGGATAGTCCCTCATTGTCATAAACATAAGACTGAATGGATTTAATGCCACTGAGCTGCGTACTTTAAAATGGTGATGATGGTATGGTAAATATTACATGTATTTTACCCCAGCTTGCCTACAAGCCTATCACAATATAAATTCAGGTTTAACAATAAGCATTCCAGGCCAGGCGCAGTGGCTTATGCCTGTAATCCCAGTATTTTGGGAGGCCGAGGCAGGAGGATCACTTGAGCCCAGGAGTTCAAGACCAGCCTAGGCAACATAGCAAGACCTCATCTCAATTTTATTTAAAAAAATAAATAAGCGGCCAGGCACGGTAGCTCATGCCTGTAATCCCAGCACTTTGGGAGGCCCAGGTGGGCGGATCACCTGAGGTTGAGAGTTTGAGACCAACCTGACCAACATGGAGAAACCTTGTCTCTACTAAAAATACAAAAATTGGCCAGGTGTGGTGGCGCATGCCTGTAGTCCCAGATACTCAGAAGGCTGAGGTGGGAGAATCACTTGAACCTGGGAGGCAGAGGTTGCGGTGAGCCAAGATCATGCCATTGCACTCCAGCCTGGGCAACAAGAGCGAAACTCCGTTTCAAAAATAAATAAATAATAAATAAATAAATAAACAATCTACATAACAAATTATAATGTATGATCCTAAAGAAAAAAAGTGAGGGTTTTCTTACTTGGCTTTGGAGTCTCAGAATCGGGACCCTGTCAGCAGGTCAGGTGCCTCTTACGGTGACTCCAGGGAGCACTAGACCCAGGAGCACCCCACGCCAGGCAGTAGACAGTGGAAAAGCCTGCATATGCCCATCTGTTGGGGGGATCAAGTGGACTCTGGATCCCCAGTGCTGTAGCAGCAGTGTCATGATTAGCACAGGACCAGAGGGGAGCCTGCAGCAGAAATGCCACCTGCCTGACCACTAACTTACTATCGGCTTTCTTTTTCTTTTTTTTTTTTTTCTGAGATGGAGTTTCACTCTTGTTGCCCAGGCTGGAGTGTAGTGCCGCAATCTTAGCTCACCGCAACCTCCGCCTCCTGGGTTCAAGTGATTCTCCTGCCTCAGCCTCCTGAGTAGCTGGGATTACAGGCATGCGCCACCATATCAAGCTAATGTTGTATTTTTAGTAGAGACAGGGTTTCACCATGTTGGTCAGGCTGGTCTCGAACTCCTGACTTCAGGTGAACTGCCCACCTCGGCCTCCCAAAGTGCTGGGATTACAGGTGTGAGCCACCGAGCCTGGCCACTATGGGCTTTCATTAAGGCTCCTAAACTCTTCAGGCCTCAGTTCCTCCATTTTCTTTTTTTTTCTTCTTTTCTTTTTTTTTGAGCAGTGTTTTACTCTGTCTCTGTCACCCATGCTGGAGTGCAATGGCACAATCTTGGCTCACTTCAACATTCCCTTCCTAGGTTCAAGTGATTCTCCTGCCTCAGCCTCCTGAGTAGCAGGGACTACAGGTGTGGACCACTACACCCACCTAATTTTTGTTTCCTTTTGTTTTGGTTTTTTGAGACAGAGTCTCACTCTATCATCCCAGGCTGGAGTGCAGTGTCGCAATCTCAGCTCACTGCAACCTCCGCCGCCCAGGTTCAAATGATTCTGCTGCCTCAGCCTCCCAAGTAGCTGGGATTACAGGTGCCTGCCACTGCGCCCGGCTTATTTTTGTATTTTTATTAGAGATGGGATTTCACCATCTTGGCCAGGCTGGTCTTAACTCCTGACCTTATGATCCACCTGCCTCAGCCTCCCAAAGAGCTGGGATTACAAGCGTGAGCCACCACACCCGGCCAATTTTTGTATTTTTAGTAGAGATGGGTTTTCACCGCGTTGGCCAGGCTGGTCTTGAACTCCTTTTTTTTTTTCTTTTTTTTTTTTTTTTTTTT